CTGATCTGTGCTCTGCTTCTCTGGTAGATGAGTTCAGGCGTCTGTGTATTGTGGGCGTTCCTCAAGTACACGGTTTCTCTCAACACCACAATGGACACTACCCCTATGGATTCAAGTTCCCCAACGGCAACGGTAACGGAGGGATCGGCAACGGAGGAGGAACGTTTGGGAACAACGGAGGAGGAACGTTTGGGAACAACGGAGGAGGAACATTTGGGAACAACGGAGGAGGAACGTTTGGGAACAACGGAGGAAGCGTGCAGCACATAAGTCTGTCCCTCTGTGCATCTGATTCTTCTAGATGAGATGTAGATGATGTCTGCTTCACGGCCTGTTTTGTCTTCTCAGGCACCGTTACTGTGAATGAAACGGTGGACGTGTGCAAACACTTCACCAACCTGTGTCTGAACGGACGCTGCATCCCAACGCCGACCAGCTACCGCTGCGAGTGCAACATGGGCTATAAACAGGATGTTCGCGGGGAGTGCATTGGTAAGACACACGCTGCATGCTGCGGAGGGTCCATGCAGCGCCGCAGTTAACTGCATGCACTGCACTGCCATCTTCTGCCAGTCTAAGGAACTTGATTCAAACGTCTGAAATGTGAAGCGTGGTGTTCGTGTATTCTGACCTTTCTTATCTTATTTCCAGATGTGGATGAATGTGTGAGTAATCCATGTGTCAATGGAGACTGTGTCAACACAGATGGATCGTACCACTGCAAGTGCCACGAGGGGTATCAGGGAACCCCCACAAAGCAGGCCTGCATTGGTATGTCTGTGAAAACAAAGTCATATCAGAAAATCTGTGTTTTCCTTGCAAGTTTTTTACTTTCAGAGAGCATTGAAGGAGCCGTGTTTCTTCTCTTTTTAAGATATCGATGAGTGTATTGTGAACGGAGTGATGTGTCGCAATGGCCGCTGTGTCAACACTGAAGGGAGCTTTCAGTGCATCTGTAATGCTGGCTTCGAGCTCACGCCTGATGGAAAGAACTGCATTGGTAAGAAGCAAAAGCAGAGAAGGCTGAAGCTCACGTAAGCCAGCAGCTCCATGAACGTTTCCTCTCGTCCGCTCTAGATCACGACGAATGCGCCACCACCAACATGTGTCTGAACGGCATGTGCATCAACGAGGACGGCAGCTTCAAGTGCATCTGCAAGCCCGGCTTTGCACTTGCACCCAGCGGGCGCTACTGCACCGGTATGTCGATTTATTAAGTGCAAACGCAGACTAACAGTCAGCCAAAGACGTTCTGCTTCGAAACGGCGATGACAGATTTGGTGTTGTTTGAAATTCTGCAGATTCTCCGTTGACCTTTTGAAGTTTTGCTTCAGTAGTCAGAGTATTTGAGGCTTCCCCCAAAATGCTTTCATGCAGAGCCCAGAAAAAGAAAGATTGATGAATTTCTGAATATCTGTCGAGAGATTTTGTCTTCAGCATTCAAGAGGAGCCGCCATTCCCGTGATGATCGTACCGTAGCACAGAGAGCGCTCGCACGGCCAAAACACACAAAAACCAGATCATCTAAACTCGTGTGGCCTCGTTCTGTCTTCATGTACCTGCAGACTCTGAGAGTTTATTACAAATTTATCACCAACAACAAGATTTTCATCTTCAGTCCCAAACATCAAACTAAACCAACACTTTTTATTCTTTTTTCATCGCCGTATACAGCAGGACAAAATAACTCTGCACGCACAAAAAGAACATTTGAAGTAGTTGTGAGAGTGTGATGCAAACAATAAATCATTCTGCAGGAAACCGGCTGTAATTCTGGTTGTTATAGTCTTGTATGACAAACTGAGCCGATGTGATGCACCGTCTCTCTGCCAGATATCGATGAGTGTCAGACACCCGGCATTTGCATGAACGGCCGCTGCATCAACTCTGAGGGCTCCTTCCGCTGCGAGTGCCCGCCGGGCCTGGCTGTCGACGTGGATGGTCGAGTGTGCGTGGACACACACATGCGGACCACCTGCTACGGCGCCATCAAGATGGGCACGTGCTCGCGCCCGTTCCCAGGCGCGGTGACCAAGTCGGAGTGCTGCTGTGCCAATCCGGAACATGGCTTTGGGGAGCCCTGCCAACCTTGCCCTGCCAGAAACTCAGGTTTGGTTCATCTTACGCTTGATCAGCAGTTATGGTCTAAATGATAACTTTCTCGCAGCCGAACATTCAGCTCAAATCTAATTCTCATCACATCCTTTCTGCCCAGCCGAGTTCCAGGCCGTGTGCAGCAGTGGCATCGGCATCACAGCTGATGGCAGGGGTGAGCAGGACGTTTGAAAGTAACCACAGTGTTGTTAAAAAATCTTCAGCATCATCTGAATAAAATATGATGTTTCCCAGATATCAATGAGTGCGCCTTGGACCCGGACATCTGCCAGAACGGCATCTGCGAGAACCTGAGGGGAAGCTACCGTTGCATCTGCAACGCCGGCTACGAGTCTGACACCAGTGGCAAGAACTGTGTTGGTGAGTCGGTCTGTGCTGTGCTTTTCAAAGTTAGCTGTGCTTTTGGTGCGAGCCGAGAGGAGCAGCAGCGTATAGAAACTCATTTTTGACCACAACGTTTCTACTTTTGTAGTTTCAGCTGTTAGATACATGAAAATGTCGAAAAAGAAA